AGTGAAGTAGTTCTACTTCGTTACTATACATCTCTGACTATATTTGAGGTTTCACACCTCATGCCTGGTCTGGTGGGTGTCACACCCTGCTCACTGTGTCTGCTGGTCCTCCTGTCTTCCCCCTGACATGACTCTAAACAAGCCATGCCTGGTCCTCATTTGTCTTACCTCTTGTTTGTACCTCTTGTTTGTACCTACATTAGTCTAGTATTTAAGTGCTCCCCAGTGCTGAGTTCCCCAGTTTGGTTATTGTTATCTATCTGTGTCCATGTTCCTTTGTTTTTGCTTTGATAAAGTCCCCTGTGAGGGCTTCACCAGTTACACGGCCTGCATTTGGGTCATGCCTTTCCTGTGCATGTGACAGTGGCTAGTCATCACTGATTGCACATTCCATCAGTTATAGCAGAGCGTAAAGCTTGAATAAGCAGAGCAATAGCACAGCTGTACATAAAATATTGCAATTGACACGACATAATGGAAGATATATCAGAGTTCAAAAAAGGACAAATTGTTGGTGCGTGTCTCAATGGCGCATCAGTGACCAGGACAGCAAGTCTTTGTGGTTTGTCGAGAGTGACGGTATCCAGGGTAATCTCAGCATACCACCACAAAGGAAGGACCACATCCAACAATATTAACTGTGGATGATAGAGGAAGCTGTCTGAAAGGAATGTCCAGGTAGTAACCAGGATTGTACCCAAAAAACCACAGCTGCCCAACTCACTGTGGAATTAAATGCGCACCTCGACTTTGCTGTTTCCACCAAAACTGTTCATCAGGAGCTCCACAGGGTCAATATTTATGATCAGGCTGCTATAGCCAAACCTTTGGTCACTCATGCCAATGACAAATGCTGGTTTCAATGGTGCCAGCAAATCATGGCCTGAGTCCACCTTCTCTGGCTTTCCCACATCCAGGAGAGTTATGGTGTGGAGAAGCCCCAAAGAGGTTTACCACTAGGACTGTTGCATACCCAGAGTGCAGCAGGGGGTGGATCAGTCATGGTTTGGGCTGCAATATCATGGCATTCATTAGGCCCACTACTTGTTCCAGATGGGCATGTCACTGCCAAGTACTACCAAACCATTCTGGAGGACCATGTACACCCAATGGTTCAAGCATTGTACCCTAAAGGTGGTACCATGTATCAGGACGATAACGCATTAATACACACAGCAAGAATGGTAACAAAGAGTGGTTTGATGAACATGAAAGTGAAGCTGAACATCTCCCCATGGCCTGCACAATCACCAGATCTGAATATTAGTGAGCCACTTTGGGGTGCTTTGGAGGAGCAAATCAGGAAACATTTTCCTCCACCAGCATCACGTAGCGACCTGGCCACTGTTCTGCAAGAGGAATTGCAAAGCCCTAACAGACTGAGCTACGTGTAGCCCCCAACTATTGGGGCTGAAGTACTCAGCTGGTGTCTCACAGTTTCTCTGGAGCCACTACTAAAACCTATTGCATGTCTTGCGTTAATGAGGAGATTCTCCGAATGTGGACAGAAATCCTACCTGGTCTTTATATCTGCCTCAGTTTTTCCAACAAAATGTAATGAACCCTAGTCTACCGTGAGGTTGAGATTTTCTATGCAAATTGGTGTTGGATACCTGAGCCCACTTCATTCCTAAATCCTTATTTAAATATCAGAGGGTTCCCAGTCTGCTCACAGGGACTGCAGAATTTATTTTATAATTTGTATATATCACTCATGCAATTAATGGTCTTATTCACCGCACACAGAAAATACACGAAACGACTTAAAAAATGGCCAAATGATTTTTGAATGTTATAAAAGCAACAAACAACATTTATTAACAATTCTAGTGCCGATGAGCACCACAGGAGATGACAGTGTTATTGTATTCATCATGTCAAAGAAGAAACATTCGAGCGCAGGTTTGCTTTGATCAGCGGCCTCCATCTGCGTTTTTATTAAGTTCATTGTCAGAGCCTCCGCTTATCAGAGTCCTTCATCTGGTCTCCATGGCAGCGACACCGGGGGCTTCAAGAGGGGAAGGGCAGCAGGGATTGCTGCAATAAGCTCGGCTATTCTGGAAACCCAAGGCGCAATGCAGTCGGCTATGGTTCACAAGCACACAGCCTGCATGCTTTGTACAATGATGAGGAGGAAGTGGTTGTGTTAAAATAATTCATGGAAATAACGTCACAACCAAGTATGAAACTAACCCCACAGACAGGTCATACCAGAGTACAACAAGTATTCCCTTTCATTTTAGATGCTTCTATTGATTATTTGTTTATTAAATTATTTAATTGTCTATTTATTTGTTATACACTAGACTAACAGGAAATGGAATGTGGGTTAAAATGAAAAGTTTCCACGAGTTTAATTTGCCATAGGGTTGTGTTACTACACTTAATATGCCATTGGCATGATCACATTACTAACTCTTTGTCTGAATAAATGTGTACTTTTGAAACGTATACTAACTTTTAAAGCCGTAATTTACAATATTTCACCACAGGGAAGTTTCTAGCTGTTGAAAAGTTCAAGGGCTAAGTCAATTTTACCTGGGGTTTGACTTTTTAGTTTTTGAAGTAGGATAATTGGCATCGGGGCTAAAATACTGGGGGCTAGGCTTAAAATACTCCGGGCTATAATAATCAAGAGACGTGGTTTGATTTAGAATTGGTCATGTTGATGTACTAATATTTGACATGCATTTATTTTTTATTGTCTGTGTGCCTTTGGTGAATATAATAACTAAAACTAAAAAAATGGCAATAGTAGTTGTTTTAGATTATATTAAAATAGCAGTTTTTTTAATAAGTCTAGTTCAATACTTCAAAATATGCCCATTTTCACTTTTTCGTGTGGTTGTTTAAACGTGGGCGTAAGTATTGCCACCATGCTGCTCCAGCGTGTTTGCTTTCTTTAGTATGCAGCCTTAAACATTTACGACTTTAATTATAACCCGATACTTCCGGCATTTTGGTGACATTTTCATATGGCGTTAACAATGGTCGATCAGCAACCAATAAATGAGGGTTATGATTGTTTCTGTTTCGGGGTGGCTAATCCTCACGCTTTCTGACTCTCACGCTCATCAAAAGCGTTGGGGTAGTTCGCAAACCCTACAGGATGTTTACAAGATGATAAATCTGTTGCATAGCTTACATGTAAATGCGTGTGCAGATGTTTCTGGAATTCAAAATCTCACGCCAGTCAGCTGACCAAGGTCGGTGACACTGCTGTTTTTTTAACTACATTTCCAGAAACCTGTGTCAGAATTTTACACCCTGAATTGTAGCAGTCCTGCTCAATGCATATACTGTTTGCGCCATTGTGTTACACTAGTTAAATGGATTCATTTAATATAGTCAAGGTGCAGTGACAACTGGGATCCTGAATACGGAAGCGCAAACTGTTTTCCTGTTATTAAATAGGGCGTCACTACACCTCGTGGGGGTCATCAATTTATCATTCAAATGCTATTTTTATAACTAAGATCACTATCATCAAGGGAAAATGCAACGTCATGCTAGATAATCATACACACAACCGAGCGCACATTGGGCTACTGTACAGCGGATGGGGAGGATGGCCTCACAATGAGGCGGGTCTCAGTATAACATCGCGATAAGTGAGAGTATATATATATGAAGCTGTGAACTTGGTTTTCATTCATCTACTTTTCTTCAATTGGCTGTTGCAGAGTGTTGGAATCACAGTAAGTGAGAACCGCATACTACTATATATGTTTGCTGTTATGTATCCCGTTGCCCGTTGATGTTTTATTATGTATTTGATTCATTAGTGTGGTACACAATTATCAACCTTATAAACTAATCAACTATTTATTTCTGCCATTGCACAATTTTTATTCTATGAATCTGCACATACATTTGTGTTTCGTAGTATGCCTCTTCGTTTCTTGAGTACAACTACAGATAGTTGCAGATCATTAAGAGTATTATATTTAATTGTAGACGTATACAGTTTAGCTTGAAAACAGAATCCCTGTCACCTATCAGTACACGTTTAGACTTCTGAAGAGAAGTGCATGGTGGAAGAGAAACAGGAACCTGTTGTCAGTTGCGTGTTGTTCTCCATCATTTCCTACATTATTTTGCATTTCTTAAGACCGGATCTTGTCCTTCTACTCCGATCAAAAAGTGTTTCTGCGTGTCTTCTGTAAAATATATATTTAACATTAAACTCCGCCGACGTGTTGGTCGATACACTACGATTCAGCGAAAGTTTTGCGTTTGTATGAATTATAACCATGGTGTTTTGATTGAAGAAGGGCAGAAAATAGAGAATACACTACTAAACCACATTATACAGTGCAGTAATAAACAAGATTCGTGACTAGATGTATCAGTGCGTTTTCTTTTCTTTTTGTATATTAAATCCCAATTTCCGTATGAAATGGCAACGAGAAACCTTAGCAGATGGCGGTGAGGCTTGTCACGTTATCCAGCCGTACAAAGTGAGATTTCGTACATTGCTTCAAATGAAAATCAGGCTTTGTTGTACTTTATAACTTTCTATTTTACTGTTTTTAAAAATGTGGTGGTATTCTCTTTCCGCAGTCAATCTGAAGATGGCAGCGGGGAAAGCTCACATCGGGAAGCTCGCTCCTGATTTCAAGGCGACAGCGGTGATGCCCGACGGCCAATTCAAAGAAATCAAGCTATCTGATTATAGAGGTATGAGAGGATTTTCAATAATTTGGGGCTTTACTTGTCTCCATCTAAAACATATTTATATATCCTCCTGAGACCCCACCCATTCATTTATGTCCATTGTAGTGGACATTTTGTTTTTGCAGTTTCCTTTTGCATCAGTTTTCACTGATGTAAGGAAATGTATTTATTCCTGTTGTACACTAAAGAGGACATGCTATTTAATTAAAAATAAAAATAAATTTGAAAAAATCTAAATTCTAAGATGTCTTATTTCCTCCAAAGACAAATAACCTAAAATTGAAGGACACTTTTTTTCCTTGGGTCTCAGGAGGATATTGTGCACATACTGTACAGAAGCCGTAACTATAAAGATTTAGAAAATCGGTTTCCTCTTATATGTTTTATAATTAATTAACCTGTTGCACTTCATTGTTAAATGCATTGTGCCGCGGTGCAATTTCGTTACAAAGACTGAGATCTCGAGTGTAAAGTTTAAGTAGGCTACCTGTTTCTTCCTTAGGAAAGTATGTCGTTTTCTTCTTCTACCCGCTGGATTTTACTTTTGTGTGCCCGACCGAGATCATCGCCTTCAGCGATGCCGCAGAGGAATTTAGGAAAATCAACTGCGAAGTTATCGGTGCCTCCGTGGACTCGCACTTCTGCCATTTCGCATGGTATGATCGCGCCCATTTTTGAGATTTCCACTATTTTATAATAAAAGTAACACTAAAATATGCAAAGGGGCAAGAGAACTGTAATATAAGGACAAAATAGTTTACTTCCGCAGTAATACATTAGGATCAAGAATTTTTTAATTGTCATTGTGCAGGTGTGTTTAGATAGTACAAGGAAACTGAGTGCCAATTTCCAGGCACACACATAATATACATATGTGATAAGAAGTGTAATAAAGTAAATGAATGAAGTAAATACAAACACAATAGTTACACAAAAGTCCAAAACTCCTATTCAAGTTAAGCAAGGTGGGGAGTCGGGATATTGCTCTTGGATGCTAGATAAAACAGGATTGCAAGAAGCCAGTGAAAAAATGATCCTTGCTTATTACTTTTGTGATACTGTTGCTGTTTTATGGTCTGTATATATTACGGATTAAATAAAGATGTTAAGCGTGTGTTTGGTGTATTCTGCTTGAAAGCATGTTTATAATTCACTGTGTTCTTTGGCAGGATTAACACACCACGCAAACAGGGAGGTCTTGGCCACATGAAGGTCCCTCTGGTTGCCGACACCCTGAGATCCATTTCGCAAGACTATGGTGTGCTGAAGGAGGATGAGGGAATCGCCTACAGGTTAGGCTCACAGGGCATTATGCTCTGAGTGAGAGGGCTAGGTTTGGCAGTGTTCTGGTGGAACTGCAACGTATCATGTGACCTTTGTGACCTGTGCTGTCATGTGACCCTGTGCTGCAATACTGAAATGTAACTGTTTATGACTAGAAGCAAAGGCCTAAAAATTATATTAAACCATAATATTATTAGTTGAAGGGCATATATAGAGGAATATTACATGATTCTGAGCTAATATGGTTAGATAAGATTCACATATAAAAACACAGGTAACCAAGTAAAACGTGTGTGATGGTCATCCCTTCTGAACCTTATTAACTGCTGCTGAAATTCCAAAATTGACTTTTGTGTAATTAATAAAGTGTATCATCTTATCTAATTATGTATATTTGTTGACCTTTCGCATGTCAGGGGTCTTTTCATTATTGACGATAAGGGGATCCTGAGGCAGATCACCATCAACGACCTTCCAGTCGGCCGCTCTGTTGACGAGACGCTGCGTTTGGTGCAGGCCTTTCAGTTCACAGACGAGCATGGAGAAGGTACTGGGTTCAAAGATGACATTACTGCAAGAATTCCCTTTACAAAGTTTTTTTTTTTAACAAAGACACCAGTTGTTCTCATTCACTAGTAAATGTCGAATAACAGTAGAAATTAAGCTCTCTACCTGAAACCCAAGAAGGATCAAATTACTGAATTTTAGATTTCCTTATTGATTATCTGAAGGACATACATTATGAGCCCTTCACATGCTGAGATATTAATGGTTGGTTAAAAGTCACTGAATTATACTCATCCAGAAGGGAAAACAATTTGTGTTAACTTTTGTGTTGTCTCAGACTGCAGCTCAAAGATTACAAATTAATAATCATATCTAAATTCCAGTGTGTCCTGCGGGCTGGAAACCAGGAAGTGACACCATTAAGCCCGACGTCCAGAAGAGCAAGGACTTTTTCTCCAAGCAGTAACAACTGGACTCGAATCTGCATCATATTGTAGAATTTGACACTATTTGATACTCCGTTGAGGGAAAATAGACAGTGAATTTTGTCATTGTAGGTTTAATGTGTAAATGGCTTGTAACCCTTCCTACAGTGAAGATATTATAGTTCACCTTTTCATGCCTGGCATAAGTATTATCTTAACATACAATGGCCGGTTCTTGGTGATCTCACATTGTAGAGTTGCTTCAGGTATTATCAGACTGTTAATTAAAGCTGGCTTCTGTCCTTCAGCATAACTACAAGTAAAACCTCAGTACTTTGTGAAAAAGGGTAGGAAACTTTTCTGTATGAGCTTCTTAATAAACTGAACATTTTGCGGTTACCTACTTTTGTCAGTTCATCTAATACTTATCCTGATGGGGTGCAGGATTGCTGGCTGGAGTGAGATTTTCAATTCTAAATACATCTGCACACAGATTTACATGTATGTAACAGTTTTATTACCTTTTAAATAGTCTGTAGGATTTGCAAACTATCCCAACGCTTTTCATTTAGCTAATTTTAGGTTTATAATGTAATAATTCAGACTTGCCGTAAGATTTCTTGTGCGAGCGTGAGAGTTAGAAATTTAATGTAATCACATATACCCTGTCCGTTTCATAAACAATACTTATAGTAATTAACGTTAACCACCCTAAACTTGCGGAAACTCGGGTGGAGACCTGCGCGCGCCGGGGCCATCAGCCGGGGTTACCTGACGGAAGCGAGTCTTTCTAACTCCGGTTAATCAACAAAATAGCTAGTTATAATTAGCTTTACTTCATTTAAACGCGGAAGTTTAAACGCTTGTCTAAATATTAACGATTTGTTTAAAAAACAAACTTTATATTTGGCGCGGCATTAAAAATGGCAACGGCTGGGAGGTTGCGAAAGTCGACGAAACCCGACATTACAGTGGTATGCCCAAGGGCGGCTTATTTGTTCAAACATTTTAATTGATAAAGATATTCAGTTTATATTTGATTATCTACCATGACACCTAGCGCGCTAGCTGGCTAGTTAACGAATGCTGTCACATGACATAGAGGGTTGGGTGTATCATAGGATAACTTTTAAAGTAAATTATTTTCCCTTTTCTTAATGAATAAAATATGTGTTTTTGTCACTGAAAAGCAGTGGACAGGTTTGTTTAGCAACGACCTCAAGACGCAGGAGCATTCCCTGGTGTTTGTGAAGAGGATGATGGCGCTCGCCGTGTCCTCCATAACCTACCTCCGCGGTATATTTCCGGAGGATGCATACAGGTCTCGTTACCTGGAAGGTGATGTTTAATAAGTTTAAAAAAAAAAAAAAACACATACAAACGTGACATTTAAAGCCCCCTTTCGCTTAATAATTCCAACCGGTACTAAAAAGTAAGATGACCTTAAAAACACCCAGTGCACTGTTTTTATATAAATAAAATGCAAGTTAGTCTAATTTTTATGTTTACTTTCCAGATTTATGTATTAAACTCATAAGAGAAGATAGCCCATCGCCCGCTGCTTCGAAAATCGTCAAATGGTGGGTCTTCTATTTTCATTTAATTAGCTTCATTTTGGCTGGAAACTGGGTTTAGGATGAAAAGCTATAATCAGCTCTTTAATTTCTTTTTAAGGATGATGGGGTGCTTTGATGCTTTAGAAAAAGGATATGTGAGTAGTCTTTTATACAAAAATGTAACGTTAAAAAACATTAATAAAAAAGAATAGAGGAAATACATTTCATCTTCCAACAGCTCCAGATCGTATTGATTGGGGTAAGTACCAAAGAAACAGGGTCCGTTCCGGATTTGTAGGTATGTAAACTACGTGTATGTGTACATTCCCCGTTAATCCCATAGGATTATATCTGAACTGGTTATCGGCGTGTATTGTTTATATATTATGTATATGGTCTGGATCTGGTAGATAATAACATACACGACACGGTACCACATCACTGTCATTTTAATTCTGTTTTCTTTAAAGAAAAATTCTCTGATGGAGCAGCTTGTCTTTTTTTAGAATGTTTCTGTTACTCATGTTTTTGAATCACAGGTGTATACAGCTCCAGGTGACCCAAATGTAAGTTTTCTACCAAAAGAATTTAAATATTAGTATTTATAGTAGGACACACACACACACACACACACACACATATAACAGAATCTTCTTTTTTTACTTATAATTTTAGGTAAGTTATCTCATTTTAATTTGTAGGGAAAAAAGGTAAAGTAACAAATTTATATTTATAAGGTGGAATAAGGATATATATTTTACCCTCAGCATATCATTGAGTCATACCAGTTTAAATTCAGACACACAGCAAAAGGACCGCAGATGGATATTCTCAGGTAACTGCTATTTATAACCTCTGTGTTCAGAGTTACCTGTGTTAAAGCAGAAACGTATCCTGTTAAAGATATTTATTACTGATATCGTATTTTCAGAAATGAAAGTGTCGAGAGGCAGATTACAATAGCAGACACTAAGCAGGCCTCTATGGTCCTCATCCGGAAGCTGTTTCTTCTCATGCAGAACCTGGACATCCTCCCTAATGATGTCTTTCTTACAATGAAATTGTACTATTATGATGATGGTAAAGTACATTTCTTGAATCAGTATTTGTCTTTTAGGACTGTGCTTTTTATTTGTAAGTGTAGTGAGCTATGCCTTTTGATCAGACGTGTTGGTAAATTTGTAAAACTGGCTTTTGCTCTATGCAGCATGTTAATTAGTATGTATCATGACTCCCACTAGTGACTCCCCCAAATTACGAGCCACCTGGGTTCAGGGAAGGTTTGTGTGACAGTCTATGGTTTGAGGGAACAGCAGTCCACTTCAGAGTGGGAGATGTGCAGACTCCCTTCCACAGCATGAAGGTTCAGGTTGCTGTCGAGCAAGGTCGAGTGGAGAGTCTGCAGAAATGGAACTGCCAGCATGAGACAACCCAGAGCTTACAAATGGCTTTCTGTAGTACAGTAAGAACCTTCTTGAATGTATGGGACTTGCTATATGGGAGAAGTGAATTGTCATAAAGCCTACAAAATGTAAAAACAAAGTATGTTTTATAAAGTTTGCAACATGATAAAATTGAAATTGCTGTGTTTCAATTTGGGGCTTCATTTACATGTAAAGTTCTTTTGCATTTTGCCAGGGCCCTGGGGGATGTAACGACAAAGACCAAGCCTCTGATGATGGTAATTTTCATCTGTAAATTTTGAAAGTTGCACCAAAAACACTTAATCATTACTAACTATTACCTCTATAGAAATATTTAATGTATTTTTTATTTGCATTTGCAGGGTCTGCAGACTTCAAGAAACCTAGCAAAGCCAAGAGAAAGGTATGCTGTAAATTTAACCATTAAATCGGGCAGTTTGCAATCACCTAAACACTTTTAGGCTTTTTTTTAAACTTCTGTTTTATTGTGTTTTCACAAAAGGACTCAATTTGTAAATGACTACCTATGCATTTACGACAGCACTTTTTTTTCATCTGTATCAATTATTTTCTGGTGTACAATGTTGGTTACAGTAGGTTCTCATTTAAAAACACCATTAATAATAAAAATGTACATAAAAAATAGAAAATCTTCCTTAAATCTTTTAAATATATGTATACTTTTGCTACATAGAAGAAATCCACGACCAAGAAGCTTGCTAGGAAGAAAGTGAAAATGGACCGAACACAGTAGTTCAAAATAACCCAAAGAGGGGAAAGACTCATCTTTAAGGAGGAATGTCCTGCTTTTCTTTAAACACTGATATGGAACAAATGCAGGTTCAATAGTATAAAGCTGCTTCATGAGCAAAAAGGTATGTGCAAGATTTAGAGTTGACTTAGACTTAGACTGCACTAGATTGCAAACTGTTTGTTGTTTTGTCGTTTTTGATTTTTGCCATTTATGTTAGAAGTCACTAGAGTATACAAAATTGAGAATTACTCAACACACAATCGGTCGATAATGTAAAAAGTTATATTTTACAAATGTGTCCCATTTTATACAAAGGATTGCAGTAAACAATGTTTTAGTTTAAATAAATTTTATTTTTAGATTGCACAGGTGTGTGTTTTTTTTAATTTTTTTCTGTGGGACATGATGAACACGAGGCGTAATCTGTCACATGATGCAAAAATTGCCTGATTTTTGGGATTGAATTCACTCATGTTTCACTAGATGGCAGTCAAGCACAAGGTATTAGAGCTCTCAGGAGAGTCAGGTTGAAAAGCAGCTGCCAGGCAGATGGCCTTTGTTACAGGCGCATCTGTCATGGTGCAGGAGCAGGTGATGGATTGTGGGTTTGATGGACACTGCTGTCTGAGGCTCGTGTGCCAGTAATAAGGCTATTAAGGTCAGAAAAGGACTGCAGGCTGCAAATGGTAGCTTGTTGAACACATGTGACCAGGTTCTAGACTCTAGAGACTTAGGGGCTGGGTTGAGATTTAAAGCATTTTGTAATCAAAATGATTTGTGGGCTGTATTTATTGAGTCATAGGAGTGCCATAAAAAAGAATAAATCCGTAAAAGAGTAAGAAAATAAATGCTGAATAAGAAAGCAAAATAAATCCAAATAAAAATAAAAAAAATAAGGAAAATAAATTAAAAATATAAGAAAAGGAAAATTGATGCTTTGACCTTATTTACCTTAAACAACTATTAAATTAAAAGCGGTTGGATTTGACAGGGTCCAACTTCCTAAAGGACCAGTGGACCATGGGCGTTTATGTATGGCCAGTAATCGGGTTTCCTGACAACCTATCTTGTGGAAACTTTTTAAGTTATCTGGCTAACTATCTAAACTTTTTTGTGGAGTAGCCCCACATAAGGAAAACTGGGTGTATCCTGGCTAGCTAATACTATCTAACCATCCCCCACTTTGTTTTTAGAACACAAGGCTCATCATTTTAAACTTTACAGTTACAAAAAATATAAATGATGGTAAATATTTCATTGATAGAAGTCAATACAACATGGGCGTTGCCTCCATTAAATCTGAGGGGGACGTGTCCCCCTCACATTTCATTATTATTCATTTGGACCCCCCCCCCCCCATATTTAACATAAAACATTAGTTTTATGCCAGTGTGTCCCTCCCACATTCAAAATGCTTGTGACGCCCCTGCAATACAGTATATAACTTGGGGTTATGATTTTACCCAAAAAATCCAACATAATTGACACAAATTGACAACCGCCAATCCACTTTTCGGAGCTTGGATTCATGTTGTTGCTGGAGATCCATTTTGTTGCTTGATCCATTTGCCTCTTTTCTTTAGCTTTCAGCTCTCTGTAATCGGATAGCTGCGATTTCTTGTTAAATCATTCTATACAATCAACCCTATAAGAGCTCTTTCCTATTTTAGATGTGGTTTTGCAGCATTAAACCCAAACGCTAATGGTGCCACAGTTTTTTTGCCACTCTTTATGTGTAACTAGGGTATATTTCGCTTGCTGTGACATCACATGCAAACCCCCTGTTGGCTATTACGTCTGGGCAGGAATGCCCGCCCAAAGCCATTTAATTGACACCTGTCCCTTAGGGGAAAAGCAACAGCAATATGGTAAAATTAAAAGCAATATTATAAAAGTTAAAACAATAAGGTAAAATTAAAAGCAGTACAGCAAAACTATATGCCATACGGTAAAAGTAAAAGCAATAAAGAAAAGCATTAATTTTCTTATCCTTTTATTTTTATTTGTATTTATTTCGCTTTCTTATTCGACATTTATTTTCTTATTCTTTTACAGATTTAATCTTGCTTATGTCACTCATGACTTCATATGTATTAGGGTGTCACTTAAAAATAAATGTCTAAAATACACATCTCTCACCACCTAGATCTGTTCTGTTGGACCCAGAAAAAAAATTCACTTAAAAATATTAACATTTACAGGTAGTCCAAGGCCTCTGAATGTTAGCATTATAAGCTTAATTACGCCTCATGATGACCACGCTTTCACAGGTACCTATCTCGCTAATCTCAGTAACCACACCAATCTCTTACTTATTGGTAACTTATTTGTGGTATCTGTCACAAGAACTTGTGGGTTTGTCTCTATTTGATGACTTGAGTCTTCTCAGCAACAAAGAGACTTGTCGTTGCAGCAATGCAGAAGAAAGGCACAGACAAATCACCAAAGCGAGCAAAAATTGATCTGTAGGATTTCCAGTTCTTCACTCTGAATCAGTTGGTAACCAGCAACTCCATGAATCTGTTTCATTGCCTTAACTTGCCAACTGACTTCCTGACCACTGATCCAGATACCTGGGCATCACAGGAAGGATACATTGGTGCAAAACGTCGCCTATTGACACTCAAAATTGTCAATGATACTGCAGAGAGGGGAGTGGCACTGATCCAGGAATACAAGAAGACATTCACTATGGGTAAAGATGACCTGCAGTTTCTCTTGCAGGTTGTTTCTGATCATCGTCAGCTACATCCTACTACAAGGAAGACCAAACTTTAGCAACTGTGACACCACAGAACTGTGTATTAAAACAGAGTTTGTAGGTTGACTATAAGAATCACATCTAACTATAAGTGTTAGTGCAGTACACTACAATTTATTGCAAATAAAACATTATTACATGTTTTATCTATGTTCTTGAGCATATACAAATTGTCTAAATGGTAAATATGCTGTGTATAACATCATCCATTTTGTGATATAAACTAAAATGTAGATGGGCGACCTGTAAACATTACACAATTATGAAATAATTTGGCACACATTAACTTTTGACCACATGGAACAAATTTGTAGGGTGAGAGTAAAGAATTTATTAATTTTTTTTTCTCATAGTACCTAAGTGACACCCTAATATGTATTTAACAAGAAGCCACTTTGCCTTGCTTATTGGATCTCTTAACTGTTCTAAATCAGGAAACAAGATGTGAGTACACAAATATTCCCAAGACCTACCGTTTTTACACCCCAAGCACGAAGTAAGTTGACTCACTATCCAAATAGTTAACCAAATAAAACAGTTAAAAGCTGAGGTGAAGTGAATACAAGAAATTCCAAGGGATTCAAACCTCCAGCCCAGCAAGTTGAAGCAAAAGGGCTACCCACTTTTTTAAAGTGGCACATCAAGTAATGTGATTTATTAAACAAAAATTACTTTGCTTAATTAGACAATTACTAAAACATATACTTTTAACATAAAATATATACTTTATTTGCCAATACTCTGAACAAGAATGTTTTTATTCGCATCCTGTCGTTTAAAGTTCATTGAAGAGCACTATAAGCTACACAGTTAAATTTTGTATGGTATATGGTTTTAAACAGTATGCGTGCATGCGGTTTAAACAGAATAAATCTACCCTGTAGTCAATAAAAACATAATCATATTGTGGGTTATATATTGCTTAATCGGGGAATGTCGAAGCAATATATGCTAGCGATGTCTGTGAGATGCTTTGCTGATGGGTTTTCAAGCGTTGCGCAGACGTGCCTAAGCACGTGCTGCAGTCTTGATACAGATGACAAGCGCTGTTTTTGGGAAAGTGGTACGTATAAGACTGTATTGCTAAGCACTAACCGGATTAAAAAACGTGGCTACACAAGTTACGTGTGTGAATATGGTAATGCGGTTTTCTCCCGTCAAAAGTTGTGCTCCGTATTTCCTTACTAAATTAAGTAGGCTATTTACTACATGTAGCAATGGAATTAAATCAAAACCGGTCACTGTTATCCTAAAGAGGCTAAAGTAAACTATTACGGAGAAAGATCCTGAAGTTTAATAACAAACACGGAACATTTAAGTAATCTGTCTATTGTTTCACGCTAAACACATTGGCTCGTATCACTATTTACATAGTGCGTTTTATTTATCTGCGACGTGTGACAGAAATTATCATCATGTTGCCCCTGTGAAAATAGTTCTTTACACCACTTTACTTTGGGGACAACTTTGGCATTAAAAAATAAAGGCGCGATGGGAAGATGCATTTGCACTGCAGCGTAAATGGCCGCAACGTGAGGTCAAATTATCTTCGCTGGCTGAACACAATTAAGTATGGTGTACGCAGACATCCGGATCACAGTTTGCACATACAAAAACACGTTTCCGATGCTGAGATGATGTATCTGTGTCTCAGTCGATGACTATCAGTTCTGTATTAGTTGGATTAATTCAGTCCACCTGACACAACGGCCCGATTCCTCGTGGAATTGAGCTTTTGGATCCGCTCGCCAGCGACCCGGACGCGTTGATCTCTAACGGGAGTGGACTTGAACCCTGTCCAATACTGGCCGGAGATCCAGCGTTGGGAAGGAGCGCAGCCGGCAGCCGGAGCGCAGACGTACAAGTCCAGAGGAAGCAAGACAGTCAGGAGAAGAGGAGGAGGAAGGGAGGAGGAGGAGGGCTGGTCGAGCACAACTGCCTGCCTTCAGCTCACTCAGCGAGCTGCAAGCATGGCCGGCGACAGCGAGACGCGCCTGGAGGAGCAGGGCAAAAACAGGAACGGGATCCGGCAGCCTTTCCTCATCGGCGTGGCCGGCGGCACTGCCAGCGGCAAGGTTGGCGACCTCGTCCTGTCCGTTCGTCCCGTTTTTTTTTTATTTTTTATTAAATGAATCAAAATGGTCGGCTGGATGGAGCCTGGCTGCCGTCCCGACACGCAGACGCTATCCGACCGCATGGCTCATGTCATGGAGAGCAATATGACACCGCTGCTTCACACACTGGCCAGATCACGTCGTACCGGCATTTTTATTACCTATAGCGTTATTATTAGTTTAATTTACAACTAACTATATTTAAATGATAAAATATGTGTACATGGACACTTCGTTCCCATTGCACGTTGTTTCAATTTATGCCCAGCCTGGAACCCAGAAGAAGCGCGTGTCTGCTCAGACAAAGCGGGCAGCATTGACTGTTAACCGGCTTAATGCACCAATCTAATTTACCCACCGTTTACAAGCGGCCTCTCGCCACTGCATGCGTGAGTGTACTGAGAGCGTGGGCTGTGCTTTTGCGGATGACCCGTGAGGAGCCCGCTGAAGTGAAAATAAACACCCGAAAGTCCTTCTTTTGTTTGCCCTGTCTCAACCCCCATCCAGCGTGTTTTATTTTAATCCCAGCGCCGGTTGGCCTCCGTCGGCCGGAGCCACACTCGCAAGCTCCCGGCGGAATTGAGTAAACCCGAACTCGGATGTCGAGCGGCCATGGTCCGTCTTATTAATTCCCACTGTGCTCTCCGCGGCGTTTTTAAGACGGCCGGGTCCACATGGTTACATGACCTGAACATGTACTTGACCTCAGGCCTTCAGCATGGTTTTTATTTACTGATGACGGTGATTATGATGGTGGCGGCTGATGACTGAACCCGACCTCACCTGGAAAACCGATGATGCCGGTATCTCAATGTCATTTGTCACTAAACAGTTCAGGAATCTTTGGTCCCCGGTTGTTACCTCACCACTAATACGTATACTAATACATATATTGCCATATCCGGAGAGTTTTACAAACACTCTTTTTGTTTGTTTGGTAAATTCGGTTTGTTTTTGTTAGGTCCGCCCGTAAAGGCTCTGTCCCCCTATCCATTAATCTTTAACTATGACCTTGCTTTTTGTGTAATTTTACATTAGTTGTAGGTTATTAAAATAACATTCAAAACCGAGATGTTTTTTGCAGTGAGAAATATTTTTTTAAAAAGAAACACATTCATAAAACGAGTTTTAAAATAGTAGGTGGTAGTTCATTATGTACTTGGGTTCTTCATGTGTTACCAGATGGATAACGTTTTTTAACCACCAGTGTACCACCTGTTCCCCCAGCTGTGTCAGACTAGATTTAAATGGGCCATTTCAAAACAATTTGTGTCGAGTGGTGAGAGAATGCTGAAACGATTTTCAGAAAAGCGACTACTTTTTATGTCCCTAGAATTTCTTTCATTCCGAGGGGTGAATATAGATTGGACGTTAACTGTTTCAGTGGGGATTACGACAAGCCTGGCAGGTCACAGGTGTACACTGGTGAATCCTGTTTTCTGTCTGGGTGAATGCTCTTTCACATTGCTATGCATTCATCACAAGTTTTGTGTTTTGATAGAATTTCCCTGAATTCAAAACAGGAAACGGGCTCCAGTTAGAGAACAGCTGTGCGTAATGTTGTTTAGATTATTCTGGCCGAATGCTCTTCTGTGTCGTCTACCAGAGGCGTTGAACGGAAGGTGTAGAGTCTGTAGACTGTGGAGAGTCTGTAATGTACACTGGTTGGACAAATGCTATCTTTCCTGTCTTAGTAAAGTATGGTGGCCTTGGGCCAGTGTTAGTAAACAGTTTCTGTTGCGTTCATTATAAAAGGCTTTGTTTTGACCTACGTCATCGAAGCCCAACCGAAGATAAACCATTGAGAGATGTACTATTATTGTAGGTTATTAAGCTAACAAAACGGCTAAGAGTATCACCCTGCTGGACGGCGTGTGTCTACCTGAATAAATGGGTGTCGCTTGTGTTCTGGAGAGTCCCAGGTCCCAGTACTATGTGATACTGGGGCTGTGTGATATAGGTATTAGTTTTTCATATCAATCTATCTCCCTGATGAGTCTGAGACGATTGCATCATTTTGAGTTCCGTAAGCTAGTTTAGTGTTATCTTTTTGACAGAAGAAATTGTCTAAAAGTAACATGGCTATGGGACTCCTGCTTTATGTACTGTGCTACCTGGAATGGACCTAAGCCAACCCCTCCTCCACACAACCATGTACTTAATTGATGGATAATATAGATGTGTGCCCACTTAAAATACAAGTTCTTAAAAGCGAATGGAGTCCCAAATATTCACAATCTGCGAGCCCTGTATTGACTTTTGCTGTAGATTGCTTATGCATTTCTCTCTCTCTCTGTCTTTATCTGAGCCAGTTATTTAGCCTTGGGTTAACCATTCTCAGACAGCTTGTTTTTAGCTTGTATGATTCCATTACTTTGGCGTAGGGAGTGACAAGAAAGCAGACAATATCTTGTGGAAGAATTTTCCTGGGCAGCCCACTGCGTCGTGTAATAGCATCAGCGTGTGAATGCTGTGCTTCTGCCTTTTCACCTCGGTTCCTAGTCGGGCCTTGTCCTCCTTCCCTCAGAGTCCAGCAGTCCTGTTGTCTGGCGTGAAAGTGCCTGGTGTGCCCCACCCACCCACTGCTTTTGGTCACCATTTAGCAGACGTCACGTTGTTTGGGCAGCCATCCGAGGCTCTGATTAATTCACTCGTCGTTCGTCCGTTGACTGACTGTGCACCTGGCTCTCGGGGCTGAACCTGTATTTTTGAAAGGAAGAAGAAGCTGGTTTGTCAGGAAGTGGATTTGGCTTAAAAAAAAAAAAACAAAAAAAAAAAAACTAATTTTCCCTGCCAATTGAATTATACAACTATATAATTTCACAGTTGGTGAGGAATTTTTCTTACAATATAATGTGATTTAAAAGAAATTTTCTATTATGTTTTACTCATCTGCCATGCATAAACACTAAAATGCCTAAGGTGTTATGATCCCCAAGCTGCTTATCTTCTTTCAGGCTCTGAAGACAGATTAAGATTGTGGTTGTTTATCTTGTGGTCCTGTGCTTCCTAATAATTCCATTATCTCCCTCTAGGTAATATAGGACAAGCTTAGTGGTGATAACTTGGTGATTTTGCTTTGACTGCTGTTGCGCTAAGGGCTTTAAGTGCATCACATCCAAATAACTGTGTAACATTCTTTTGGCAGTACTTTTGGCACAAGTAAACTCAACATTGTAGCCAAGGCTCTTTATCCTCACTAAATCAGTGTATTTTCTGATGCTTTTTTGAATACAGAAAACAGGTGGATGATCATTTTCATTGCAGTAGCTAAAAGCTGATCAAAATCAAGGTTGTATGATCTTCAATGAATCCAGACGGTCACGAAGTGAACGTGCCATTTAGAAGCTTCTACCTCAATCCTCACATGTACTTTGTATTATGTAATGATGTAATGATTCTCCAAATCCATGGTTCGGTTAATACTTCGATTTTAGAGCCAAGGTTCGATTTGATACCTGGTTTATTTTTATTCTTTTGCTTTTTTTCTTTTTCCTCGAACACTAAGAAACATGTTAGATCAAATTTACAAAACTTATGTAACCAGATTGTTCCCACGCCTCTTACTTAAAGGTGCCTGGGTGTTCTGCAGTCTCAGGGATGTTATCCATCTTGAGGTAATCAAACTAGCCTAGCTAGTTAGCGTGATCACTCAGTAGTGATTGGACCGAAAAACGATAAAATAGCCCTAGGTATGGAGTGCAATTTACAAAACATACTGCTTGCCCTAACTTCACTTAGAAAAATACATTTCATGATTTGCATGTGTATTAGTGGTAATTGGGCAATGCAAAATGAGTTTTGTAATATTAGTAACTTAATGAGAGCTCAACAGGCCGCCCCTGTGGCAGAAGGGGTCGATATTGTGGCTCCCACTTCCAGAACAGCAACATGTGAATGTGAATATTTGAATCACGGTTACGATCTTGGTTTCCGAACTGTTACGCCACTACGTAGCGTCCCCACCACGTAGCGTCCCCACCACGTTAGATTCCTGACCCAGCAAAGTGTCCTCAAGCTTAAAATAATAATAATAATAATAATAATAATAATAATAATAATAATAATTAATAATAATATATTCACTCAGCTTGGCAGCGAGCCCCTCCCACATGATTACCCACTGATGGGCGGTGACCATGTAGTTGTGCTGACACATGGTGGTCGTGCATTTGGCTAACCCTGATTTGATTTAAAAAAAGCATCTGGTAAATAACTTAAGTGTAACTCGGCTGGAGGTGTCAATGACATGCAGTTGAAAGCAGGGTCTGTCCTTCAAGCAATTGGGGTTAGGGCTCAAGGGCCTAATGTTGATATCAACTCTGGGATTTGAAATGATGACCTTCAGACTGCAAGCACACCGTCCCACACCACTGAGCCCCACACCACCCCTCAGGTGGGAGCAGGGAGTCCTTTTAAATGCCACAAAGTAGGGATGGGCATTTTTGGTCATATTTCATTTCGAGTAATCCACAGGTTTGAGAAACGAGTACTCGATTAATCGGGGGTGGAGTTTAAGCAAGGGGCGGGACGTTTGCGTCACAGTATACAGTAAACATTTAAAAGAAATAACAGCATGAGGTGAAGCTGAAGCGCTTTTTCTACATGACGCATTGTATATAAAATTAATCACATAGCCTAGACACATAAATATGTAAATGTTATATTACAAATTGTATTTATCTACACAAAATGCATGTGAGCTTGAACTACGTGTCAATCATAAAGTAGTGGATGCGCTTCTCCCGTTACTTTAAAACAACGGCAACTGAAGAAACTGAACCCCCCACCAGACCCACTCTCTCTGATTAGTTACCTTTTTCTTTTTCTAAAGGTAAATTTAAAGCCGGCATAATTTAACTATGCTGCTTAAACAAAAACAGCCTGAATATTTTACCATGCATGGCTAAGAAAAATTAACATAAGGACGACATTTTTATTCAAAAAGATCAGTCGGTCTACGTGCTCAGATGAAAGCCGAGTGCGGAGTCCATTTACAATTAGACCAGCGGTGGAAAAAACGCGCTCAGCAGGCACAGAAGTTGCAGGAACAGCCAGGTACCACTGGGCAAGGGTGCTTAGCTTTGCAAATCGAGACTCATTTACTTTCCACCACAATAAAGGATCCTGGTTTACAGAGATGCATGGCTCCCTGAAGTAGCTTTCGATTTCGGTGTCATGCGGAGAAACATCACTCATGCCGTAGTCCTCGCCGAAAAGAGTGTCGAGCGCCGTTGCTGAGTCGGCCTTACTTTGTATGGGTCTGACAGGATTTGGGATTGTCTCGCAAAGTCGCTTCAGATTCTCATTTACTCTCTCCCGAAGCTTTGTGTCAAGAAACTTGAGATGTTTGTGTCTTGGATCCAAAGCCGCTGCAATCAGAGGCAGATACACTTTCTCAGCATCCTCAGCAACTTCGACTATGCGCCGTTTCAGAGATTCGGCTACCGCATTTTAAAATTCAGACATTCTTGGAGACTCACTCCTCTGCGTGTTTAAATGTCTAGTGATGAGACTGTGTGTGATCGGATAGACCATTGAACTGGAAACATGGGTCTCACTACACATTGTAGTTGTGGCACACTTAAGAGACTTGAGAACAGGTGTCAGTTCTTCCACAGTCTCCCAGTGCTCATCTTTTAGGTCAAGTGTCCTCGTATGTGCAAGTTTTGTAACATTGCGATCGGACAGAACAGCACACACAGCCCACCTCTGTTCCAAAACGCGTTCGAACATGTCACACACCGAATTCCACCGCGTGCGACAATGCTGAATAAGCTTATGGTCGGGTATATTTTGTTCTTGTTGTTTCTGCCTTAGCGCGGCTGTAGCTACTGTGCTGTGGTGAAAATGTGATACCAAGCGGCTACTTGCAGCTATTA